GACGTAACATGGAAGCCAAATGTTCCTTCTAAATCTTGTTATTGCGTAACATTTTTATGCTTGTCTTCGAAACGAATAGTCCAAGAGTACTCAGTGTTCAGAACCACATTTTGGTTTCAGCTGACAACTACATACCTTTGCCTTTCAATTTTCTACACAATATCCCCTTGGCTGGTGTGCATGAAGATATCAAGAGAGACAGACATCTAGTAAGAAAAAGGCAATTGGAGGGAACACTGACAGAACAGCGCAACAAAATCATGAATTGTTACACTGACTGCAGTGAGCAGAAAGCAAGAAAACGAAAAAAAAAATGTGAATGTGGAAATGTGTTAAAGAACATTGTGAATCCGAGTGAGTGAAAACAACTCACAATTATCCTACATTTACAGCACTAATTATCATTGCCCAAAACAAAGGGAATCATTTCAAACATCTCACACATTTTTGCTTATTGTGTCCATAGACTAGAATTCAGATATATTTGGGTTAAACCCTGGGCAACATGGGCCTGGGAGGCTCACAGGGATATTGGTATCCACAGTACTCCACCAATTATACATTTTTCAACTCAATACTTCATGTATCCTTTTTTTAAACATAAATGCACTGTAATTTAAAGTAATTGTCCAGTGAAAATCTAACTGTATAAAATTAATGTTCTGGTAACTCCTACCCAAATAATGTTGACTCTCATCCTATACTCGTATTTGTGGCCAAAGCATAAATTGGAGAAAAAACACTTTAAAAAGCTACCTCAAACTTGTATCTCAAACAGACCGTTTCAAAAATGCTTTTTAAATGTGATTTAAACATAATCGGTTCAAGGGCATACATCTGGTGTATTAGAAGCAATTATTGGTACCATGTTTTTATTTACACAATGATTCATTCACTATAATGGGGGATCCTGTTTTCTGCTAACAATGCCTGCAGTAGCGAGGTCGGCCTTGAACTTCCATGGCTTCAATGAGAGGTGACAGTCTTTTAAAACTGCCAGGTTTTCTCTCTGCCACATGACATGTGTAGAACAACAGGATATTAGATTTATAGCTACAACAACAAAACATTTGTCTGCCATGTGACAAAATGTGTAGAATTGCAGGAAATTAGCTTGAAAACATAATTTTTTTCTCTCCATTGCCAAGAGTTGGACCTTTAATATGTTCCTTCCCAGGGCCTGAGACTTGGTTTGTCCGGCCTTGCACAAGAAGTCATGGTAAAACTCCTTGTATGGTATTTTCTATCTCACTCGAGTTGTGTTCTGATTATGAGGGGCTCACTGATGAATTTGCTATCACAAAAGTGTCCACGGCCCCAAAAAGTTTGAGAACCACTGGGCTAGGGGTTAGGGTTAGGGAAGTAGTTGCAAAGTAGCTAAAAAGTAGTAAGTAGTTGCAAAGTTTTAATAATAAATTTTTTAAGTAACCATCCTTTTTCATTTTCACATGTAGCAAGCAAAGTGTTTGTGTTGTCCAATCAACATGGGTAGTAGCTGAGTCAGACAGCCAACATCGTTTTCATGCATCTAATTAGCCTATTTCAGGAAAATAAAGAGGACTGAGCACGCCCCCATTCACATCGACGGGGCTGTAGTGGAACAGGTTAAGAGCTTCAAGTTCCTTGGTGTCCACATCACCAACGAACTATCATGGTCCAAACACACCAAGACAGTCGTGAAGAGGGCACGACAAAGCCTATTCCCCCTCAGGAGACTGAAAAGATTTGGCATGGGTCCTCAGATCCTCAAAATATTCTACAGCTGCACCATCGAGAGCATCCTGACTGGTTGCATCACCGCCTGGTATGGCAACTGCTTGGCCTCTGACCGCAAGGCACTACAGAGGGTAGTGCGTACGGCCCAGTACATCACTGGGGCCAAGCTTCCTGCCATCCAGGACCTCTATACCAGGCGGTGTCAGAGGAAAGCCCTCAAAATTGTCAAAGACTCCAGCCACCCTAGTCATAGACTGTTCTCTCTGCTACCGCACGGCAAGCGGTACCGGAGTGCCAAGTCTAGGTCCAAAAGACTTCTCAACAGCTTCTACCCCCAAGCCATAAGACTCCTGAACAGCTAATCATGGCTACCCGGACTATTTGCACTGCCCGCCCACCCCATCATTTTACGCTGCTGCTACTCTGTTAATTATTTATGCATAGTCACTTTAACTCTGCCCACATGTACATATTACTTCAACTACCTCAACTAGCCGGTGCCCCCGCACATTGACTCTGCACCCTGTATATATAGCCTCCCTACTGTTATTTTATTTTACTTCTGCTCTTTTTTTCTCAACACTTTTTTTGTTGTTGTTTTATTTTTACTTTTTTGTTAAAAATAAATGCACTGTTGGTTAAGGGCTGTAAGTAAGCATTTCACTGTAATGTCTGCACCTGTTGTATTCGGCGCATGTGGCCAATAAAATTTGATTTGATTTGATTTCTCAGCGACGCCGGTGGCAACCTGCCTCGGCTATCAAGATCAAAGAAGTTTGGTGAATCAGGTCTGACTCAGATGGAGAGTGAGTGAGTTGTTCAAGATGGATAAACAAAAGGCAAGACAAAGTGGTGCACAAAAACTCCACCAAAAAGCATTATCTGATCAAGCTCGTGCCAAATTACAGAAGATAACCACATCAGCAACGCAAAGCTACCACCTCGTCCTCGTCTGACGAAACACCATCGCAGGTGGAAGCTAGTAGGGCTAGTTATGCAGTAGCTAGCACTAGAGACCCCACTGCCTGGGCCAGGCAATGACCGTGAGCTTGCTTCTCCTCTTCTTCCTCCCCTTGAATAGTGACAGTTCCTCCAGAGTGCCGGCCCTCCTCCTCTCCCAGAAAACCAAGCTGATGACTGTCAGAGACCCAGCGGCGCTCATGAGAGCAGCCCTCCGCCCCGGTAAAAGCCTATTAGTGATGAGACTGATAGCCCCGAGTTCCAATGTGTAATATAAATAGCTACCAGCTAAATACTGTACATAGCTATAGATAGACTAGTAGGCTAGACTGCGTTGTCTGCATAATGAAACAATCCCTAGTAAGCTATTGTTTTGACGGTGGACTGATTTGGCACTATTTGACATTAATAGACTGGTTTTATGCAGCACAAACTTTCTGTCCAAGCTGTGAGAGAGTGCAAGGACGGCTAAGATAGGCTATAGGCCTATAGGACAGTTGTATATTCTAAAAAATCTATTGGGTACTGATTTAGTACGCTGTTGCATAAAACATTTATATTACAATCTGTAATGTTGAATTTCCCACTTTAATTACTGAACAAGTCAATACATTATTGGCGCCAGCCAGCATTTTAAATAGCAGCATTGCGACACCGTAGGCCTATAGCTTCACGAAACATATACATTAGGCTTAACATGAGAAAATGAGGACCAAATAAAAACATGTATCCATTAAAGCAAAGCTATAGGATACTACAAGCCCTAACACCATATAGTCTGTTAGCCTATCGATTATGCAGCCGTGTAGATGTCGCCATTTCAGAACCATGAACAGTAATTGGTAGTCTATACTTTGCTGGGGGTTCCAGAGAAACTGCGCTATGCCAGTGAACGTAACATATCATACTGTACTAATTTGAGTGTAACAAATGTACCTTTACTATGTTACGTCTAGTCTTTGAGGCCAGGCTGTTATTTTATACCGTATTTTTTGCTCATCTTTATCAAGGGTGCAAATAATTTTGGACCTGACTGTAAATGACAGTGAAACAAAACAATGGATCTCACAAGTCCCCTAATCAAGCAGCGTGATGTGCATAGAATATGATATGCCACTCCGTTAGGGGATCTGCAATTACATTTTATAATATCTGGCAACCTTTCCTATCCTTTGTAGAAGACAATTTCACAACTCCATAAACCAACCCAAATTAGAATTTGTATAATTTTTTTTTTTTTTTTTTTTTTTACAATATTTTAACTATTTGATTATATTACTCATTGTATATCATGCCTGCTTTAAGTCTGGTTTTGGGGTGGGTCTCTGTTAGAGCATGGGAGGGTTGGGGTGGGTTTGATTTGGTAGGAGATCTGTGTGTTTTGTCCTCTACCTGTTCTGTCTGTGTTATCTGTATAATCATAAAAAATGCAGAATAAAAAAACCTTTGAAAATAATATGATGTGCTTATGACAAATGTACAGTACAGTGCAACACCAAGTTTTTATTGTCATGTACACAAGTACAGTGAAATGCCTTACTTGCTTGCTCTTTCCCAACAATGCATTGATTTAATATCAGAAGTACTATAAAAAATAAACACCATACATAAACCTGTGGGGTACACAGTGTACTTACAATGATTTGGGAAGCATACAGTACATGTAATTTCCTTTGAATACGTCATGATTGCCCATTTTGCAGTATATTCAATACCTCAATAGCAAGCAATTTTCTTTATTGTTGTATAATAATAGAGGTTGTCCATTGATGGAGATTTGTGAGGTGTCATTAGCAGTGCCCATCTGCAGAACATACTGTATAGGTAACTGCCAAAATAAAGGAAACACCAACATAAAGTGTCTTAATAGGGCCACCACGAGCCACCAGAACAGCTTCAATGTGCCTTGTTATAGATTCTACAAGTGTCTGTAACTTTATTGGAAGGATGTGACACCAGTCTTCCACAAGAAATTCCATAATTTGGTGTTTTGTTGATGGTGGTGGAAAACGCTGTCTCAGGCGCTGCTCCAGAATCTCCCATAAGTGTATAATTTGGTTGACATCTGGTGACTGACACACACACACACACACACACACACACCTGTGTGGAAGCACCTGCTTTCAATCAACTTTGTTTCCCTCATTTACTCAAGTGTTTCCTTTATTTTGGCAGTTACCTGTAGGTCATTTTAGGAAACATATAGCTAGATAGCACAGCAGGTGATGTGAGTGTTATCATGCAAATCAACTCTGTATGATGTGTTACATAGCAGTGTTTGTAGTTTTCCTTTGGACAGGTTTGATGGTTTACCTTGGTTTATAATGTTCCTGCTTGTCTCTCCAGGAGCATCTCTCAGTCCAGCACATGGGCACCAGGAGCACAAAGTCCTCCTAGTAGTGAGGTTTGTCCTGGGCCTTGTCCGGACTACCATGACTGACCTCCTGGCCAACCTGAGTGTTCCATGGGGCACACAGGCGATTGTGTGCCCCAACCTGACAGCAGCAGCCCTGGTTAGGCCGGGGTCAGGCCAGTCTCTGGCCCCCTTCTGCACCTTCTGCTGCTGTGGCCTGCTGAACCGTACCCTGGCCGTTGTGTTCATGGTCAGTCTGGCCTTCGCCATAGTGGTGGGCAACGTGGTCACGCTAACCGTCTTCATGCAGACAAGACAGGTCCGCACACCACAGGGATACCTCAAAGGTAAACAAACAAACAAACTGATTCAGAATGAGCTCATTTACTGTCTAGAAATGCTGTTGATTTGGATAGGAGAGAATTGTAGTCACATGTAAATTGCTTATGTTTACACGTGTGCAATAGATTCACTGACATGGAAGAACAACCTTTGGTGTTCTTGACACTGAAAGGTGAAATACTTATTTATATATTTATATTCAAACAGGTTTCAGGTTAATTCATTAAATGTTCTGTTTCTAGAGTTTGTTTATATTGCTTGCATTTCACTTTTTAGTAATTTAACAAACTCTTATCCAGAGCAACTTACAGGTTAAGTACCTTGCTCAAGGGCACATCGACAGATGTTTAACCTAGTCAGCTCGGGGATTCGAACCAGAGACCTTTCGGTTACTGGCCCAATGCGCTTAACCACTGGGCTACCTGCCACCCTTTATTGGTTATATTGGCAGGATTAATTAAGACGATCGGTGCTTGTTGTTTAGCAGAGAACTAAATCAATCTTCAATGCTGTTCAGTCACAATCAGGGATTCTTTTGTGCATTACCTCAAGAACCGCAAAACCATTTCCACGCAGTACTGTAGATTTTTTCCCCATGGAATTGAATGTAAAATCAGCTTTTAGGACACAGGGATTTGTACTGTACGTGGTTGAGTGTGAACTGTGAATATAATTTTGCATGACCTTTCTCTCCTGACAGTCTCTCTGGCCATAGCGGACATGATGGTTGGAGTACTGGTGGTTCCTTTCTCTGTCTACACTGAGATCTCTCTGATGGTGACCAGCTCCCCTCCTGTCTGGTACCAGGGGGGCACTGACCCCTCCATGGGGGGTCTGGTGGGCCCCTGGCAGCCCTGCATGCTGATTGGTCCAGTCTTCGCTGGCTGTACGTTTGTCTCCATCAGTACTATTTTCCTGATGACGGTAGAGCGCTGTGTGGCCATCTTATGGCCCCTCCACAAGGACCACCTGGTGACACGGAAACGCACCCTGTTTCTCATGCTCTTCTCCTGGGCAGGCAGCTTCCTCCTGGCCCTGGCCCCCCTCATCCTCAGCAACAACTTCACACTGGAGTACAGTGAGTGCAGCCGGATGTGTAACTACGTCCCCCTGTGGGATGGAATCACGCTGCCCTCTGACGCCAGCATCCTCCTGCTGTTCCCCGTCTTTGACTTCACGCTTCTGGGCGGCACCCTGGTATTCAACATCCTGTCCTTCACCAGCATCCGCCGCTACACACGCAAACGTAAGCTCATGTCAGAGGGGAATGTGGGGGTCGAGGGAGGGGGAGGCGGCTGCCAACACAGACCCTCCTTCTCTGACATCAAGGCTGCCAAGACGATCAGCATTCTGACGTTTGCCTTCACGGCTTCCTTCACCCCCATCGCTGTGTTTGTGCTGGGCAACGTGGTGGGCTACACCTGGTGCAACTTCTCCTTCGTAGCCTTCTGGATCCTGACTGGGAACAGCTGCTGTAATGTGATAATATACAGCGTGAGAGACCAGCGCTTCAGGAAGGGAGTGACTCTGCTGTTTCAGAGGGAGCACTCACCTTCCCACGGGGAGAAAGGCGGAGCTACACCACCCCCCAACACACCTTGTGACTACACTCCCAACCCCACCTCCTTGAAACTATTTTGAAAAGACAACCAGTGCCCTTTTCTTTAACTTTACTATGTTGAGAGGGATCTAATCGGCATTTAACTTCAGGTTAAAAAAAAGAAGAAAAAAAAAAAGACAATTCTGGAAAAGGAATTGTTTCCATTTTTTTCACTGTGTCTAAATAATGAAACGTAACTGTAGTAAACCTATGCGATATCTAGTAGTTGCCAGCTATTCCCATTATCATTTAAATCATGATTCAAGCCGTCTCATTGGACTAGGTGAGATTTCTTTGGGGAATATCTTAATAACATGCACTTTTTCATAGAGATGTAAGTAATGTATGGTTTTCATTTGTTTTGCGACATGTTTTGTGACTGTCCAGAAACATGTTAATTTTGTACAACTTTCTCAATAATAGCTTTTATTTTTGCTATAATACCATTATATTCATGAGGATGGCCTAATCAAATGTGAGTGAATGAATTGTAAGAATGTTTTGAATCTAAATGAAGAGAGAAACATGTTGATGTTTTGTATAGTTATGGGTAACGGAATTGCACTGAGACTCTTTTCACTTAAAATGTATGCCAAACAAAAAAACATTGATTTCGAAGTTTAAGCAACCATACAATGCACAAGGACAAAAAACACATTTACTGGAAGAACTGTGCAGATGCAAATTTGGTAAACAGAATTTCAGTAAAATCTCCCTCAGTTTTTTATGTGTCCACATTTTCCAGAAACTCTGTTAAATATCTGTTCCAAATTAAGATTCAACAATGTTTGCAGAAAAAATTGGATGTCAGCTATGATATGACACATTGACTTCGAAAAAATCTATTTTGGTTATTGAACTACAGTAAGTGAAGTGGATTTATACCTGGTAACGGAATTGCGGTAACAGAATTTCATCATGGGTCCCTGATCTGTACTACACAGAAATGCATAATTATGGATATGAATGTCATTCTCCTCATGGTGGTGTATTCTAAATAGGTACACAAAAGGTATAAATATGCAATATCCTCTTTTGCATATTTGGGTATTATTCTACACACTGGCTATTATTTTAATGAGCTCTGCCCCCAAACAAGACCAAATTTGGTTGGTCTGGACCAGACCAAATCTGTACCAATCATAGATGCCTTTGTTTCACAAGTTTAGACATCAAAGTACAGCACAGTAGAGTACAGAACAATAGAGTTCAGTAGAGTAGAAATCCAGTACAGTACAATATAGTGTACTCAACTTTAGTGTGCTCTACTCTGTACTGTACTAAACTCTACTCTACTGTGCAGTACTGTACTGAACTATACTCTACTTTTCTTTACTGTACGGAACTGTGCTGTCCAAACTTGTGAACCCAACTGTGGTTTGTGACTACTATTTCAAGGCACAAGGTAATGTTTCTTAAACTTACAGAAGGCAGAAACATTTCTCCAAAACGAAATATAAGTATTGATATTAGTTGGCAGGGGTCTTTACTTCAACATTATTGTGTTTTGATGTATTTCTAATACCTTTTAAGAATTTTTCTGGTAGATGTTTTCTAAGCCTCCTTTTCCAGAAAATCAAAGCACTTGCTTATTCCTCATTTCTAGGATGGAAAATGGTTGAAAAAAAAGATAGACTCTTCGCTTTCATTTGACACCCAATTTGACATGCTCCTATGAACTTTACATGTTGGTGTTCATGGGTCCTTTTATATGGAAATGACCTTATTCATCTCCTGGATGCCAGTCTACACAAGGAAAAATGAATGGTACAACAAGCAAAAATTTATACGAAACATAAATGAACAATTCATAAATGCCTTATCTTATGTTTTGAGTGTGAATGACCCACAAAGACCAAATCATCTCTTTAATCTGTTCTGTTTAGCAGCTGTAAAGTTGATATTTATCCTATTAAACGTGCTTCATTCATCTCTGAATGTTCTCTGAACATTATACAGTACAAGTCAAAAGTTTGGACACACATACTCATTCAAGGGTTTTTCTTAATTTTTATGTAGAATAATAGTGAAGACATCAAACTATGACATAACACATATGGAATCATGTAGTAACCAAAAAAGTGTTAAACAAATCAAAATATATTTGAGATTTGAGATTCTTCAAATAGCCAACCGTTTGCCTTTATGACAGCTTTGCACATTCTTGGCATTCTCTCAACCAGCTTCACTTGGAATGCTTTTCCAACAGTCTTGAAGGAGTTCCCACATATGCTGAGCACTTGCTGGTTGCTTTTCCTTCACTCTGCCGTCCAACTCATCCCAAACCATCTCAATTGGGTTGAGGTCGGGGGATTGTGGAGGCCAGGTCATCTGATGCAGCACTCCATCACTCTCCTTCTTGGTAAAATAGCCCTTACACAGCCTGGAGGTGTGTTGGGTCATTGTCCTGTTGAAAAACAAATGAGAGTCCCACTAAGCGCAAACCAGATGGGATGGCGTATCACTGCAGAATGCTGTGGTAGCCATGCTGGTTAAGTGTGCCTTGAATTCTAAATAAGACAGTATAAGACAGTGTCACCAGAAAGCACCCCCACACCATAACACCTCCTCCTCCATGCTTTACGGTGGGAAATACACATGCGGAGATCATCCGTTCACCCACATCGCGTCTCACAAAGACACGGCAGTTGGAACCAAAAATCTCCAATTTGGACTCCAGACCAAAGGACAAATTTCCACTGGTGTCTTCTTCTTATTGGTGTCCTTTAGTAGTGGTTTCTTTGCAGCAATTCGACCATGGAGGCCTGATTCACACAGTTCCCTCTGAACAGTTGATGTTGAGATGTGTCTGTGACTTGAACTCTGTGAAGTATTTATTTGGGCTGCAATGTCTGAGGCTGGTAACTCTAATGAACTTATCCTCTGCAGCAGAGGTAACTCTGGGTCTTCAATTCCTGTTGCGGTCCTCATGAGAGCCAGTTTCATCATAGTGCTTGATGGTTTTTGCGACTGCACTTGAAGAAGCTTTCAAAGTTCTTGAAATGTTCCGTATTTACTGACCTTCATGTCTTAAAGTAATGATGGACTGTCGTTTCTCTTTGCTTATTTGAGCTGTCCTTGCCATAATTTACCAAATAGGGCTATCTTCTGTATACCCCCCCTACCTTGTCACAACACAACTGATTGGCTCAAATGCATTAAGAAGGAAAGAAATTCCTCAAAATAACTTTTAAGAAGGAACAACTGTTAATTGAAATGCATTCCAGGTGACTACCTCATGAAGCTGGTTGAGAGAATGCCAAGAATGTGCAAAGCTGTCATAAAGGCAAAGGTTGGCTATTTGAAGAATCTCAAATATAAAATATTTGGTTTGTTTAACACTTTTTTGGTTACTACATGATTCCATATGTGTTATTTCATAGTTTTGATGTCTTCACTATTATTCTACAATGTAGAAAATAGTAAAAATAAAGAAAAAACCTTGAATGAGTAGGTGTGTCCAAACTTTTGATTGGTAGTGTATGTTGAGTATAAAATAATTATTATTCAGGGAAAAACATGCTTAAGATATTTACAGCACTCATACAATGTTGATCGAATAAATGCTAATCAATGTATTTAAATTCAAATAATATCTAGCTCAAAATTACATGACTTAAAGTAAACCTGCAAATAAACATTTTGTAGCATTTTCAATAAACATCACCCAAAGAAATCAGGATAATTTCCATATGACCTGTACTAAAAAGCTGTTTTGGTACATTTTGTCACAATGACAATGATGATATATCATGAAAAATTAAATATCTGTTTTGAAATATTTTACAAGCTTAGAGACTTTGTACATAAACCAATGTGAACATTGCTGTGTCAATATTTAAACACTGTACAGAACTTTATCAGTATTGCATTATTCATTATATGATGATCTCAGATTTTGTAATAAATGCATTTGGAAACACTTCATTTGTGAGTTGAATGGTGTTCACTCATGAGATTAATGTGTTCAGACAGTACCAAATGTCTTTCAGGCCTCTGCTCTAAAATTCACCGTCTCAGCAGTTACACAAGCTACACTAGAACCAACCATTTTGTGGCCCCATCAGGATCAAACTTCCTTCCATTTGAGAAACGTTAGTGGAGAAGGGAACACCCTGCAAGCTGTAGACAACAAGCCACTGGATGCCTCAAGAGTTCTGACAATGTCTACAATGTGATCTCTCACACAAATCCTTATGAGTGATATGTCATAGATTAAAAAAAAAAGATATATAATAGATTTTTATCTACCATCACAATTTATGTACGACCATGCCAACCCAGAATATGTGTTATTTTACTGAAAACAGATCACCAAATGGTAGACCTAGTATATGTGCATATAATCAGGAAGCTACTCCTTACTCCCATGTGCTGGCGGGGGTTGTTTGGATATCACATTCCCTCCTCAAAATTAGAGAAATCTGGATATGCTGCGAGGAAGCATTAGATGGAAATGGATGGGGAGAGGCTGATGTAATGTTAGAGCAGAGGTCTGGCTGGCAGAGATGTGATAAAAGCATATTCCTCCTGCAGCGCTACCATGACATAAATGATCTGACACATGGCTGGTCATGTGACACAAGGCAAGCCTCAGGAGAACACTGGACTGTCAAGAGAACCGCTTACTGGGAGAGAGAGAGAGAGGGAGGAGGGAGAGAGAGAGAGAGAGAAGCATGATTAAAATATGCTGCTGTGTGTTGTTCATTTCACAATCTAAAAGTGGACCTATAATTTGGGCCTGTATCATTATGGCACAACTAACAGTCTGACAACAGTGTTTGTAGGTCTCTGTTTGCATACTGTATGTACCCAGCGCTTTGACTCCGTGGCCACCAGAATGACAGCACTGTTCATTTCCCCAGGCACTCTGGACATTGACAGCCCATCTGTGGTTCATCTAATTATGTGTTGAGATGAAAACAGGAACTCCTTTTTGTGTTAAGGAAAGCTCTACAGCTACTGGCTAATTGCATCCTTAAACTGCCCCTGCAGACATCTCTGCCACCCAACCAGCTCTAAACCATTTTTTCCCTTTCAG